TGAGGCCTATGATCAGGAACAAATTCGAAGAAGCAAGACAAGAAAAAACGAGACCCCAAGCAATCGGCCTCTAGCCGACCACCTCCGGCTACAACCCCTCGCTCGGAAGAATGGGATTACACTCGATGCAATAAGTGGAGTTTGGGTTTCGGAAAAGACGCGGATTGGACATATGAGCGGTTCTACGACGAGCTTCCACGCAAGGTCGGGGCATTCTTCATTTTCATGGGGAGAAAAGTAGATGCCCAACACGGGCCTCTCACGAAGTCCCAGCGAAAATTCCTGAGGTGGGGACAATATCGGGTCATTAACTCCGTGAATCCCCAAATTGAATTGAATAGACTCGGAGTCCATGATCCCGCTGTGCGGCGTTCTTTGCTAGAGGATCTCGAGCAGTATGAACCGATACACGAGCCACCGAAGACTATTGCCGGGGAAGTCCCTAGTCCAGAAAAGGAGGCTGCCAAACCCCAGCCGACAGGTTCCACCCTAAGTGGTACCAGCGGAAACTCCCAGCAACAGGGAAACGACCCTCCTGTTGTAGATTGCCGGTACAAGTCCACAAATGATGGCCGTTTTAGGGGCAAGTCTGCCCTGTCAAGAACCTTATGGGAAGCCTTAGACGACCCCTCCCCTGCCGAAGATACCATTCATCGAAGGGGATAAGCGATGGCCCGGAACAACAGAAGCTCAGGAGGCATGGATGAGGGCAGTTGTCGACGACCTTCCACATGATCATCCAGGGGGCTGGTTCTATCCCCCAGACGGATCGCTCGAAGTTACACCCAACCTGCGTAAGTATCAGTTATGGCCCTTTTTCTTCTGGCGGCTTCAAAACAGTGTTTGGGCGAAGCTGAGATGTCCGGAGGATCCGTCGAACGCTCTGCCGTGCATCAAGAACCCTAACCATAACATTCGTCGAACTGGGCACGTCGCACTAGGGCCGAGAAAAGTGGTCTCTCGCACAGGAATCTTTCACGTCTTGGGAGAAAGGTTCCGCTGTACGACGTGTCTTGGGGGGATCGATGACGAGGGAGAGTTTGAGGATACTTACACTGAGCATACAGGGAAAGACAAGCAGAAAGGGTTGGCGCAAGAGCTGGGTGCCCTGTCCGGCCGGATCCTTCGCGCTGATCATACACGGCCGCTGGCAGGAAAGGTTGATCCTAGTGCTGGCGTCAAATGGTCGTACTCTGTGATGAACGAGGTTGGGGAAGTCCTGACCCACGCCTTCACTGAGACTGACGGTGATGCGCAGGTGAAGGGGCTGTATGAGGGTCTTCGAAGGCGGCTAGATTCGCTACAGCTGCCATATCCTCAGCTGATTTATCTTGATAAATCTTGTTGTGGTACCGGTGGGTCCGCCTCTATGTTAAAGGGCGTGTTTCCGGGTATCATAACAAGATTGGACCCCTTTCATTTTCTCTGGAGGTTTTCGAAGAGCTGCAGCCGCACTACGCATCCAGGCCATGGACAGTTCATGAAAGAAATGTCAAGAGTAAGGAGCTGAGATTATCTAGATTATAGTAGTATAACAGTATGATTGTTTGATAGTACGGCATAGTAGCAGTATAACAGTGTAGATCAGCTTGCTAGCAGTATAAGTTATACTGCTAGTTATACTGTATAACAGTGTAGAACGGCATGATAGCAGTATAACAGTGTAATTAAGAATATCTGATAGAACGGCATGATAACAGCATAACAGTGTAGAACGGCATGATAGCAGTATAACAGTGTAGAACGGCATGATAGCAGTATAACAGTGTAGAATGGCATGACAGCAGTATAACAGTGTAGAACGGCATGATAGCAGTATAACAGTGTAGAACGGCATGATAGCAGTATAACAGTGTAATTTAGAATATTTGTAGAACGCCATATCAGCCCTATGGTAATATGTGTTCACATTCATTCAGGCGCTGTTTAAAGTGAATGAAGAAGATATGCGGCTTCTGATCGAAGCCATAATGGTGGCGTTTGGCTTCGCTGACCCAAGCGAAGCGGCAAACAAATTGAAGAAAAATCCTGGGTTGCTCTACCGGTTCGTCAGAAGGCAAATCCCGGAAAAACAGGAGCTGGAGGCTCGAATTATGAGTGTCGTAGACAGCGCGCGAAATGTCGTTTGGGAAGGTGAGATGCTTCTTCCACCTGGTCCGGATGGCTTCGAGAGATGTCTGAAGAACCAGATGCACCACGTACGGGGGGGATGCCTGAGCGATCCCGAGGGTATCCCTTTGTATGAAGAGGCAGGCATCGTCCACTTCCAAGGGAAAAAAGAGGCCCCCTTGATGTCATACAAGTGTTACCGCGGAAGCAGCCAGTTGGAGGGGATACACGGTCTGCAGGCTAGTTACTTGAGTGGATCGAACGTGGGGGATATTGCGACACAAGCACTGGTCATCGATGGAATAACGCGTCATAACCGAAAAACCAGGAGGAAAGTTGACGGGGTCAAGAACGTGTACCCCCTTCTTGACAACGATATTCTTCAACGACTGCGCCATACCTCGAATACCGAGGGGGGCCTGTATCCGCATCTTGTTCTCAATGCCGCAGAAACGGGTAAGAGGCCAATAAGCTGAGTCCTTCTGACAGCTTGATGTTAGGGGAAAGTTTCGCTCTGGAGTACACAGCTGCGCTCCGGAAGGAACTGCTCGAAGCGGAATTGCATGAGGCCAGGAAAGGAAGCCCAGCTGAGACGGTGGCAGCCAGCGAAGATATCCATGGGTTCGAAATGGATGCTACGGAGCTTTCAATCGATAGAGTGATAGAGATCCTTGACGTCGAGCATGACAATAACGACGTAGTCCGACGAGAGCGCCATCTGCAGCGGACCGGTAACTCCAGTACTGCCCGCCGTATATCCAAACTGCGGATGTTTGGTCGCAATACCAACTTCTTGGACAAGGTGCCGCCGGAGCGATATACATTACAGATGCGCGTCAAGATCGACGGCCTCATAGAGCAGTACGGCGAACAGAATGCCGACGAGGTACATAAGCAGTACTACATGTGGTTTCTTGAACAAAAATGAGACTCCAGCTACCCCTTTACTGGATACCCTCACGACTGCATATAGAACAGTATATAACAAAGCGAAAGGCAGAATTGGCCTCAGCAGTAGCCCGGGTTCCCGACAGGGTCACGGCTGCTCGTCGTACCCACATGGAGAATGTACTTTCGTCTGGTACGAAGCCTATTACCCCAGCTGAGCCAAGCCAGGCCACGGCTCCTCGGTTACCGCTCAGGCCACTCGTTCCGCCTCCACCTCCTACGTCCGTCCCAGACAAGAAGCAAATGCCAGGCGAAACGGTATCTTCAGGCCCAAAAATTTTGGGCCAAAATGCGGACTATGTAAACAGCCGAGAAAAGGTAGGGCGCGCATCCAACATGAATAACAATTGCGGATGAACGGAATACGGGACCGTTTAGGTACCCATTGCAGGCCAAACATCATCTACGAGGGGCGCTCTGTAATAGGCCCATGGTACTGTCCGGTTCACGATGGACCATTCGACGAGTGGAGAAAATCTGGGCAGATGCAACGCTTCCTTGAGATCAAGGCTACAAAGTCAGCCGGTCAACGTAATCGTGGGCGTGCCGCAGGTTGTATAAAGGCTGCGTCATCCAATGTTGAGGGCAATGACGAGCTTGATGTTACGGCAGAGACGCAAGACGACCAGAAAGAGTTAGACTCAGAGGCTAGGTGCACCACGGTGAAGCCTACTGCCACTGATGGTCAGCTGATGATCCGCAAACGACTGCATTGTACACTGTGCAAACAGGAGCGGTCGGCGGCTACGGGGCACAAAAAGCCAAGGATTCAGGGTCGCTCCGCCGGTTGGTACTGTCCGACTGCGCACGGTGACTACAACGAGTGGGTTCGCTCTCAGGCGCAATAAAGCGCGAACTAGACTACCATTCCCCCGCTGGGAAGTCTGAGACATGTATTTGAATGCCCTGTGCATGCTGTATTCACTACTAGGTTGCGTTACCATCGGCATGAGTCAGTTTCCTTTTAGCTTTCCCAACAAGACAGCTGATCGCGGGCTGAGTCGAGAATCGGACTCGAGACCTCTCGCACCCGAAGCGAGAATCATAGCACTATACCACACAGCCACAAAAAACAATTCACAGAGGAAGCTTGCGCGCTTATGTGTCTGTCGCTAGAAACCGTCCGCATTCGAAGACGCGGTAGCAACTCCAAAACGGCGCATGATCTGACGCATATTTCGAATGATGGTGCAATACTGGAACCGAGAATCGAACTCGGGACCTACTGCGTGTTAGGCAATCGTCATAACCAACTAGACCATTCCAGCAAGCTGAAGTGACATCTCATTCCGTGGTCCCGGTGAGCTCCGTGGTCTTGAATGCCTGTCTACTATATAGGCCGTGCTCAGCAGCAAGACACCTAATCGCGGGCTGAGTCGAAAATCGATCTCGAAACCTCTCGCACCCGAAGCGAGAATCATACCACTAGACCACACAGCCATAACGGCGAGTACGTAGCAGGGGCTTCGGTGCCCCAGGAGCAGTCGCTAGAAACCGTCCGCATTCGAAGACGCGGTAGCAACTCCAAAACGGCGCATGATCTGACGCATATTTCGAATGATGGTGCAATACTAGAACCGAGAACCGAACTCGGGACCTACTGCGTGTTAGGCAATCGTCATAACCAACTAGACCATTCCAGCAAGCTGAAGTGACATCTCATTCCGTGGTCCCGGTGAGCTCCGTCATCTTAAATGCCCGTCTACTATATAGGTAGAGCTCAGCAGCAAGACAGCTGATCGCGGACTGAGTTGAGAATCGGACTCGAGACCTCTCGCACCCGAAGCGAGAATCATACCACTAGGCCACACAGCCACAAAAACAATTCATAGAGGAAGCTTGCGCGCTTCAGTGTCTGTCGCTAGAAGCCGTGCGCCTCCGAAGATGCCGTAGCAACTCCATCTCGGCGCATGATCTAATGCATATTTCGAATGATGGTGCAATACTGAAACCGAGAGTCGAACTCGGGACCTACTGCGTGTGAGGCAGTCGTCATAACCAACTAGACCATTCCAGCAAGCTGAAGAGACATCTCATTCCGTGGTCCCGGTGAGCTCCGTGATCTTAAATGCCCGTCTACTATATAGGTAGAGCTCAGCAGCAAGACAGCTGATCGCGGGTTGAGTTGAGAATCGGACTCGAGACCTCTCGCACCCAAAGCGAGAATCATACCACTAGGCCACACAGCCACACCGGCGTGTATGTAGCAGGGGCTTCGGTGCCCCAGGAGCAGTCGCTAGAAACCGTCCGCATTCGAAGACGCGGTAGCAACTCCAAAACGGCGCATGATCTAACGCATATTTCGAATGATGGTGCAATACTGGAACCGAGAGTCGAACTCGGGACCTACTGCGTGTTAGGCAGTCGTCATAACCAACTAGACCATTCCAGCAAGCTGGAGGGACATCTCATTCCGTGGTCCCGGTGAGCTCCGTGATCTTAAATGCCCGTGTACTATATTTGACCGGTCAATTTATTGGGCGAGTTTAAAGCGAGGCGCGCGCGATCGCGATTGGGAGGGAACTTATGGGGACGAGACCTGAGTGCCTCCACGATTTTACCCATCCCTCCTCATCCCATGTTATCTAGGAGGCCTATGTTGCGCCGCGGAGGATGTACAGCGATCGATCATCGCTGTTCAGGTGCAGCACAGCATGCTTACAATACGCATGGTGCTGTCGCGGTCAACATGGGCGGTTCGGGAAAGACACCCTTTCGCTGACAGTCGAAGGCCTGGGCTCGAAGTGCAGCATTGTTGGCCTGACGCTGTCAGCAGGGTGCGGAACTCGGGCCAGTCAGGGATCTCCGAGTTCGTTGGCTACTGATCGTCGCTGTGGGCGGTATGCCAGCAGGCTGCTGGCAGCAGCGGTATAGTACGCCAACATCTTTCACCGAACCAACTACCCAACTCTCCTAGGTAACAAACCATTTACTATTATACACTGGTGATCTGTTAAAGTAGACCCCCAAGCCCAGAGGGGCTACCAAGGGAGCCGTCGATGTCCGTTCCCAACGGTGTCACCGAAGAATATGTTATGGAAGAGTGCTGTGCATGGGACAGCAGCTTCGGGGACATCGACGGCGGGTGAATGTGCGATCGTGTGCAACGATGCTTTAAAGGCCGTGCTCAGCAGCAAGACACCTAATCGTGGGCTGAGTCGAGAATCGCACTCGAGACCTCCCGCACCCTAAGCGAGAATCTTACCACTAGACCACACACCCACAAAAAATAATTCATAGAGGAAGCTTGCGCGCTTCTGTGTCTGTCGCTAGAAGCCGCGCGCCTCCGAAGACGCCGTAGCAACTCCAACTCGACGCATGATCTAATGCATATTTCGAATGATGGTGCAATACTGGAACCGAGAGTCGAACTCGGGACCTATTGCGTGTTAGGCAGTCGTCATAACCAAGTAGACCATTCCAGCAGGCTGAAGAGACATCTCATTCCGTGATCCCGGTGAGCTCCGTGATCTTAAATGCCCGTCTACTATATAGGTAGAGCTCAGCAGCAAGACAGCTAATCGCGGGCTGAGTCGAGCATCGGACTCGAGACCTCTCGCCGTCTTAGCGACATTCTGACCCGTAGACCATAAGTAAGCTTTTTTTGACCGAAAGAGAGGCCTAAAAAAAGCGAAGATGAGAACCTCTCGCACCCGAAGCGAGAATCATACCACTAGACCACACAGCCACTAAAAACCCATGGTACGGGAGTGTGGGAAGGGGATAGCACTCAATGCTTGAATGCTTGTTATCCGATCAATGGTCGAGGCATTGGTGCTGTCCATGTCTTACGATAGTGCCACACCGTTATTGCGGTTGAGTTGGTAAATCAAGTTCACGGTGAACTGTTCACCATCGTTAGACATCTCCCTACCTAGGATTAAAAAAAAATCTGACAGCATGAGCGCCACTGTGCTGCGTTTTTAGCCACTCACTAAGTAACACCATGTCTCTGAACGCATGAACAGCGACGGCGTTTCTTCGCTGTGCGGTCTCATGATGTCACAAAGCTTGCGCACGCACACACTCTCGTCCTGCGTGTTTTTACTATCGCTGCAATTCTCTCCGCTAACAATAAAAATCCATGGTACGGGAGTGTGGGAAGGGGATAGCACTCAATGTTTGAATGCTTGTTATCCGATCAATGGTCGAGGCATTGGTGCTGTCCATGTCTTACGATAGTGTCACACCGTTATTGCGGTTGAGTTGGTAAATCAAGTTCACGGTGAACTGTTCACCATCGTTAGACATCTCCCCATCCTTACCACACTCTTCGGACGTTCTCTCCGAGCGGCGTTCGATGCGCCCATCTCAGCCCTGATATAGACTAAGCAACACAAGGATCATCACTTCAAAAATGGCGAAACTCTGTCACACACAGTACAACTTCAGCGGCGGAATGTCACGCGGGTCCTCAATGCATTGCTCTCATCATTCGCTCAGCGTAAGTCCCTTGCTCTTCCTCTAGGCCTGTCCTACTCCTCCTATAGATCTCACGCACCATACGTGTGTCGACCCATCTTCCATACTCGGCTATCTGGACGTCGTCGAAGCCGGCGTCATGCAGCAACACCACCCCGGTTCTGCGCATGCTATGCGTGGTGCAACCCTCCTGGAGGCCCGTTGCCAGACTGACGAGGGCTTTGATGTCGTCACAAAGCTGATCGTATGTCGCTTTGAAAAGAGGTGCGTACGGAGCTGAATCATCCGCGTCGTCGAGCAATTGCTTCAGCCGATGAATAGGACACCATGGGTCGCTACGTCTCCTCAGCGTAGTCGCCGGCGAACATGCACATCCCACGTGGAGCAGAGAACCAGCCCGCCCGGGGTCAGTCTTGCTCCATTTGATCCGAATACGCAACGACATGCCATTCGGCGCAAATCTCACATCATCCCGTCGGAGCTCAGCTATTTCGCGAATCCTCAGTAGAGCGGAGACCCCTAGGAGGAGAGCTACTGTGCTGGGACGCCTTCCAGAAGGCGGGACGGTGTAGGAGATTCTGCGGAGCTGAGCTGCGGTCATTGTGCAGGCCCGCTTTACGGGCGTCTTCCCTCTTGCTCTGACAGTCGCTGCCCGCACCATCCGTAGGATTTCGGCTTCTTGTACAGTGAAAGGCCGGGCACGCGGATGCATCTTGTTCAGCGTGAGAAGCACACGTATGTACTGCAGAATTGTTGAGGTCTTGTAGGGCTTCTCCGGACGTTCGCACCTTACGTCAACAAGGTAAGCAGCATATCTTGCCAACATCAGCATATCGAGTGGGAAGGGGTCGCACTCGGAATATCGATCTTGTTCATTTGCCACAAACTGATCGTACCCGCGTCTCACAGAGTCGTACGACGCGTTCGTTGACGCTGCCCGAGAATGGGCTAGCAGTAGGATAGCGTCTTCTTCACCATATCTGCGGCTCTGACAGGCAGCCACAGGTTGAAGAGCCTTCTCCCCGTGACTGCAATCGCGGTGACAGATTTGACCATACCGGGGGGTTTGGTCGCTCACGATCGAGTGGAAATGGAGGGTACTTCCAGCATTCGCTGGCAGCTGCTGCCTACGATAGGGTTGGTACGGACTGCTATTGTCATACGGTCCAGGAGTTCTGCCAACATCCCACCGGCACCGCCTTATCTCGTAAACACGGCGTTTATCGTGGAGCAGTTCGACAACCCACGCAGGCGGAGGCATTGAGAGTGGCAGCTTACTGGTGAGTTCAGCTAGGTAAAACGAGCTGTAAGCGGCAGCCGTATGTAACCTCCTCCTGCGAAGTTCGAGGTGCGTACCGATAGGCTCAACGCAATCATCCAATGGTGTCAGAAACAGAGCAGGGCACACTCAGGGATCACGGAATGCTCCCGTCTCGGCTTCGAGCTGCTGCCTACGGCTCCTCACAGTATAGCATCTTCAAGTTGGTAATTACCGTCTGCATATCAATCTGGCTCATGCACGCTCCATTCAGATACTCTTTAACCTGCCGCAGACTCTCCCTCGACAAGCTATCGGCCAACCAATTGTCCTGCGTGGGCAAATGATACGCACGGAGTCCTCGGCTGTACCCCCAGGCCTTGGCGAGGTTCCTGAGTAGCCTATTCATTTTCGGTGACTTGGCGGACAGCTTGTTGACAGCTGCAACAGCCGAAACGTTGTCACATAGTATGACAACTGGCCTGTCTGCTGAAGCCACCGTGCAGCCACACAGTACCGCGAACAACTCCAGCGAGCATATGTCAGAAGACTCCCATGAGTCCCAGTTAGACGGCTCCACGAATTGGCTGACAGCGGACGAGCTCGGGGTCCCCAGATCCAGTCGGTACCAATAAGCTTTGCCTTCGCCTATCACCAGACCCCCGAGCCCAGAAGTAGACGCATCCGAGACGATAACCGAGACATCAGACTCGTGAGGAACCCTGCCAAGTTTAGACCCCCATCCCAAGAGGAAACTTGCTGGGATCCTTGCGAGACTAGAACCCTTTGGATACAAATCGGTGGCCTCTGTGTCGCTCAACTCTTCTCGCAGAACCGCGCGGAAAAAGTCTAAGTCGGACTTGGCCTCCTCACTCAGAGCGATCGTACGGCAATCGAGCCTCTCGGCGACTGCCTTGCAAGCGTAAAGGCTACGTAATCGGGGCTTGAGTAGTTTGGCTACATGGCAAGCCCACGATAGACGACCCGTCACCGTCTTTAATAGGGGAACCGGTACCTTCGACTGCTCGCTAGCAGCCGCTAGGATTCGCTCGATATCGCTAACAATAGCCTCCGCTTTCCCCTTGGCTATACCGACCGTGTTATCGCGCAGGTCCCACTGGAAGCCCAAGATCACCGGGAACTCCGACACCCGTATCTTCTCGTAAGAGTCCTGTATGCCGAGTACCGCATCCAAGAGAAGGAGCCCAACTAAACGACGAGCAGCATGCACCCGCAAGCAGAAGTAATTGCGGTCGTCGATGTAGAGCTGAAGGCCTTCTGCGCGATTGTCGCACTGAGCGAATATGCGTTTGGCGAGCCTCGCTTCCGACGCGCAAGGCCTCACCCAGAGCAGCGGTGAGCTCCGGAGGCCGAAGGGTAGCCGTCTATGGGCTACCAACCTTGGACCCGAGGGAGTATGGGATGTTCACGACTCGTACACCGAAAACTCGTACATTTTCGACTCATGTCTCGAAAACTCGTAAATCTTCGACTCGTACACCAAATACCCGTACACTGAGGACTCGTGCACGGAAAACTCATACACAGAAAACTCGTACATGTAAAACTCGTACGCAAAATACTCGTACACATAATACCCGTACACAAAACACTCGTACACATAATGCTCGTACACCGTCATTTCATACACACACCCACTTTCAACTCGTACACCGTCATTTCGTACACCTGCGAAAATTTTTTTAGGCAGAGTCGCGGAGCCGCTCCGCGACTTGCCTAAATTTTCGCGCGGCTCCGCCGGCGCACTGCCGCCTCTACTTGACTGTTTATCTCCTCCCTGTCGTGCCGAGCCTGTACATAGGATCGAACCCGCGACCTTTGGATTGATAACCCGTTACCTTAACCTCCATACCACTCACACTATTGAACATTTACTAACAGAGTGGCGCAAACAATTCGCTCTCTATAGACAATTTTACTTCCTTCGCTCCGCCATTGCTCTCAGCGCGCGGCCCAAAAATGCGACTCAAGCAGCATAGTGTACGAGTCGTGCTCGTGTACGAGCTGACGATGTACGAGTTTTATGTGTATGGGTTTTACGTGTATGAGTTTTATGTGTACGAGTATTATGTGTACGAGTTTTAAGTGTACGAAACGACGGTGTACGGATCCAAGGGGTGAACGAGCATTCAGACACGACTCGTACACTGAATGATTCAGTGTACGAGTCGTGTACGAAATGAAAGTGTACGAGTTTTCGGTGTACGAGTCGTGATACACCCGGGAGTATTTATGCAGTTGACGCAGTATTTTCTATCAGCGGGCCGAATGGGTATGTGCCGAAAGGCACTCGCCACATCTGTTTCGATACAGACCACATCTCCCCAACTATGTTCCGAGCCCGTTGTCATCACATCGCGAATCCTCTGGAGAATAAGAGCAGTCGTGGATGCCCCCGGCAACTGAATTGTTTCCTCCGTGCCAACTCGAGCATTCACTCCACTTCTTCTCAGATCGTCGATCACTCGTACTCCTCCATTCTTCTTCTCAATTGCTGCAATACGCGACACGATACCCCTTG